CTACGTAAGTTCGTAAACAAGTATGATTGAGATAATGAGATATGAGATTATAAGCCTGTAAGTTAAGTTACTAAACCACTTGTCCTAACCTCTCAATCTAGGGTCATTAGCGTTTAACCCCCCAAGGAAAGGCATGACTGGTGCTGCGTAATCTGCCACGTCTGGTTTGGTTATTGAGCTTACTCTAACATGTCGGACGTCTTCCTTATAGTATAAATAGACCTTAAAATTTTATTGGATTTGGCTTAGAAACGTCTCTCTAAAAGGTTTTTTTATTGAAGGTGGACCATACTTTCGATCTCACCTAGGTCTTATGAATTTTTTCTGTTGGCAACTAGCACTCATGGCTGTGTAACGGAATAGTGACGTGTCCCAAGGATATGCAAGACTCTGTTTGGGTTCCTGTTGGGCATATTTGTGATACATAGGCGATTCCGTAACTCCAGTCCAGCTTTGATGGAAAAACTTTTTTGTTAGGTAAGGCTAGGTGAAATCCATTGGAATCATAGGACTTGATAATTTAACTGTGGGGAAAACTTTACCAGCAATTATTTTATCATCTTAAACGAGATAGGATAACCAAGTTCTTAGTCAGGAGTTAGTGGAAATCCCAAGGGCCCTGTACATCGTGAATAATTAAGATCGGAAAACTAGGATAAGAATTGAGTTTTATTACAGCTGGCGATCCATTTCTTAGCTTAGGGTATTTGGTAAGTTTTCTGTAATTGATAGTTTTTTGCTCAGGCGATTTATGTCACAGGGATAAGAAAGCTCGGCGCGGATTCATCGGTGAAGCAGGACTGTGAGTCAAGGAATTATGTGCGACGCTTCCTACTCCAAGTTAATCCTCTTTCCAGCTATAGTGAGACCATTTAACGACTACCAACCAGCCTTTCTTACTCTGCAAGGATTATATGAACAAAAGTTGACTTTAGAGTCTGCAGAAAGAGAAGTAATGAAATAGTTTGAGCTAAAATTCTTCATTTCGCTTATTAATTGCCACTAAATATTCAAGGCCATTCAAATTATCAGATATGACATTAAATGTAAGAGATTCTGATAAGAATATGGTATTCTTGACTGATAGACTTTCGAAAAGATGAATATCTATTCGCTTGCTATTCTTATCTCGAGCTGTAATTTGTGGTTTCGTAATTATTTTGAATTGGCTTTAGTAGGCGGGATTCTTTATTCGTTGATTTTCTCTAGACGCAAGTTCGCCCGTTGGGAATAAGTATATCATTTGATGGAAATAGTTTAGTCAGCTTTCATTAGGACTGAGGGAAGCTCTAATTTTTCAACAAAAACCACAAACAGTGGGATTAAGAGAATTATTTACCTTCTGGTTAAATTGACTCACGAATTTCTTCTCAATACACAATACGCAAATGGGCTACATAGGTGTTACTTTGGCAAAAATTTAGACGCTCATCTTTGGACTTACCTAGATAAAATATAGTGGATAATTGACTACGTTACCATTTTTTGAAATTATTTACATCGTTTTTTAATTTGCTTTTAGATTCAAAGAAGCTGAATGGGCTATCTTTAAATGCATCCCTGTCATCAAAGAGCTAGTTCTTCTTACCTGCACTGCTACAAAGACCGAAGACTCTAGACAAACTCATAGTTTGCGTCAAGAAGCTTTCGAAAGGAACAATGAAGAAAAGGAAGTAGCAAGTGTAAATGTGAAAAACTTAGAGGCTTCATATGAAAATACAGCCGTAGTTTCTATCGTTGGTGAACAACTAGAACCCGGTTCAAATCCTGAACACATTCTAAATTCTCAATTTGTCAACGAAGCCGACTCGCAGGAGGAGGGACTGGCTTACATTTCCAATTTAATGAGACCTGGATTTGGCTTCTATCCACCTCTTGATCGCATGCATATCAGTGTGTTGATCCTAGCAGCTAAGTATGTAAAAATTGCGCATAGGATTCCTTATTCTACTGATTCGCTGCTGTATATTATCCTCTGCTGCATTTTTGCCAGACCTCTAAGGAATTCAGTTAACCTCTGATCCAATTAAAATTGTATTTTAATTTCAGGCGTGAAGAGTGAGATAGTGTGATCTTTACTATGGTCGTGGTCTCCTTTCGTTGTATAGAAGTGGTTAGGCCTAGTTTTCGCAATTTTATCGGATTGCCAGAGAGGTTTAGATGAGCACACCTTG